CTCGATTCTAAGCACCGTTTCCATCACGACATCATCCGATTCTTTGCAAATTCAAAATAAAAAATCGGTCTACAAAAAAAGACGATAGCAATCAGTATCCTACATACCAGATAAGCATTGCAGCGAGCTGATAAGCAACGCAGTGGAGGCGCGGCGCGGCCAGCAACGCAGCCCGTTGCACTCAACCTCAACCGTGAATTGGCCTGTGAAAGCGCTCGATTTTAAGCGAACCGCGCTCATGTTTTCCCTTGCAACTTCCAAAGTCGGAAGAAGTCGGATGAAAACTAATATGATTCTGAAAGCTAAGGATACGTAGAATCTCGATTTGCAAACCGTTCCTTGGACAAGTCTGGACATTTTTTTAAAACTCTAATTGAAGTTTGAATTTTAGTTTTTTGACTTGTCGATTTTGAATTCACTCTCTGACCCCCAGGAAGTAAAAAGTAATCATCACCAAAGACGTAAACGAATAGTCTATGTTTGTATTCAATTGTTATGACAAAAAATTGCATTTAAAATCATCACGGAAGCTAGAGGTTCAACATTTGTATACGTGCGCTTTTACCTCTTTTTTTCATCTTTTCGAAACACGCGTTTCTGTCTCCCTGTCATTTGAATATTCCTCAATTAAATTGTTAAAATCTTTGTTATTCTGGAAGTTTGGACCCTCCAGGTAACTTCTACATCTTTGGTTCTTGCTTTTAATGATTTTAATTTTTACCGTGAATGTCCCGTTTCTGTAATGGGCTCGTCCCAATGTGCAGCGCCTGCCTTCTCACTTTATATCTGCTGTAAATATTAATAGAATTTCAGCAATCAAGTAAATTGACCAATGCCACAAATCGAAGCCGGAAGAATGCAGGAAAAATTGAGTTAAACCTTATACCTTGGACCTTGAACCCTGAGCGATGCACCGTTCCTCAACTCTTCGAATGAGGAGCCCTTCACGAGCTTTTCCATTGTTTTATTGTTTATTCCAGTCACTCAGGTAGAATCCCACGCCTTGACGTTTCTAGCGGAAACGACATATCGACGGTGAAACTACCAAACCACGTATCTCGTTTGCGGTGTTTAAAAATCTACGCTCACATTTTATTTTTTTGAAGTAGACCAAATCAATATCATTCCTTGAAATTTTCACGGAATTTTCTCCGCACAAGGAGGAAAAATCACAGAAATTTTCAAGACTGGATGTTAAGTAATTTTTCATTTAAAAAATAAAGTATGACAGGAAGTCTGCGACGTCGCAAACCGAGATACGTGGTTTGGTAGTTTCACCGTCGATATCTTTCACGCTATTAACATTGGACTTAAGTGACATGAGCTTTAAAAGCTTTACAACATTAAAATTTCGGGGTTTCATAATTTTTTGCACATCTACATCTACTACAGATGACATACATGTAAAGATCATCCTTATCGGTCCGGCAGTTCGTCAGAAATAGTGCTTCCAAGATTTTGCTTGTAGCTGTATAATATAGATGATGATGATAACCCAAAACCACGTATACTCTAACTACTAACCGGTGCCCATTCTCTCTCGATACACGGAAAGTAAGAGATTGCTGATACAACAATTAAATTTTTAAAAATATGTCCGACGTGTTTCAAATGTACATTTGGTGGTTAAATTAGCATTTTTAAAAGCAAAATCTGGATTGAATCATGTCGGGCACTTTTTTTACCAACAAAATTGTTGAATCAACAGTTTATTTTTGTCCCGTGTTAGGTGTTCTACCTTCGAGAGAAAATTAGCGAAATGGTCCAGAAATGTACAAACGCTGGATGCGAGTGACACAACAGGAGCCGAAACATTTTTAATTAAATACCGTGCGCCCCGGGGGGGGGGGGGAGGGGGAGTGTCGGCGAGGTGGTAGTGACACGGCTGGTACGGTGCGAAGGAGAGCGGGGGGAAGTAGAACAGTGAAACGGAACAAGCGACGCTAAGCTCGTTTAAGCCGGCGAGAATCTGAGTGCATAATGGGCCTCCTAATGTCGTTAAAAGCCTTTTAAGCTGGGCCCCTGGACGGGCTCCCGAACAGTGGCGTGGCGTGAATTGCGATCTATCGATTGTTATGCCATTTAAACCTATGGAAAAGGATCGATTAACAGGGTGTTCGCAGCGAACACCTTAATAATCGATTCTTTACCATAGGTTTAAATGGCATAACAATCGATATATCGCAATTCACGCCACGCCACTGCAGTCCCGAAGGGTGCCGCCGAGCCCCCGCTTTTCTTGGAACTGGAGCCCCCGCTTTTCTTGGAACTGGAGCCCCCCGTCCCCCACCCTTTCCGGTGTAATTTGCCGTGGGGTTTTTCGTCGCTGTGAGAAGTACTGACCGTGAGCCTTTGTTCAGGGTGGTCACGGACAGTTAGAGTCGGAATCCCCTGATTTATTTTTTACTGGGAGGCAAGCTCCTGGAAATTTTGCTGGAGAACCTTAACATTTTCGAAATTTTCTATATATTTCGTTTGTCTAGATAGTAGTGGCTAGTCCTTGCATTCCCTTGAAATGATGTCTTTCCAAAGTTAATCTTTCTGAAGAGGTTCGTAGAAATAGTTCTTTTACATAGAGTTAAAGTCAGAGAAAACCTGATGATGTTGAGGAATATTGCCCAACCCTGAAATAGTCTGGAAAAAGTAGAGACGTTTTTCTGTGGAACCTGGCAATGTTTTCTTTCAGCCAAAAATTAAAAATTTTCAATTTCAAGGGGTTTCTCTCAATGAAGTTACACTGCAAAAACTTCCAGATATATAAGGGAAAATTCCATATTGTTGACAAAGTTTCAACATTTCCTTTGGGAAATACACTTCAAAAAGAGAAAAAGACAGAAGAGGAAACAATTGGATCGCATTAAGCAAAAACAAACCAGCGCAATAATTGCGCCGCGATTACAATGTTTTCAAAAACGTGCAACAAAATCAACGATTTTTTTATGGGAAGCAAAAAATAATTGCTATTCTAAGAGTTTTTTTTCTATTCTAAGTTTTTTTTTTTTTTTTTTTTTTTTTTTTTACATAAGTAGAAAGAATTTCTACAACGATCTAATCGTGCTGGTTCTTTTTTGCTAAATGCGATCCAATTCGAGAGTTGGCTCAGTGGATCAAGAAGAAGTAGAGAAAGCAGAAGAAGAGAGAGAAGAGGAACCCCCAACCAACCATTCATGGATTCTATCAATCTCCAAAAGCAATCCGTCGCAACAAAAGGACCGATCTCGAAAATCGACTTACCCAATCCGAGATTATCCCGTGTATTAAAGCCCAACAATTAATTTATTTGGCGTCGCTCTCGGGGCGTAAACAAAGATGTACAGGAGCTGCTATCGGGAACAGATCCCTGAACAAACAGCCGGGGCCGACTTGTCGGCGGCGTTTGGATTCGGGCCGCCCGGATGTTTGCTCGGCCGATTGTTTGGGGGAGATTCATATCTTTTCGCAAACAGCGAGCCCCGCGGGCTGGCAATTCGGCGAGCAGAGCCGAGCCGGCTCATCCAGGCGCTGTATGCTCAGTTGTGACACGCTCAGGTTCCCCCACCGCCAACGGGTCCCGGGGGAGTTTTATGTTGTGGTCCCCGAAGATGAGGAGTTCTTCAGAATTCATAGAGTTTAGAGGACGAAAAAGAAGAACAGATAGCAGAAGAATAAGAAAAAGAAGAACAGAAGCAGAGGAATAAGAAGTAGAAGAGGAAGAAGAAGAAGAATAGAAAGTAGAAGAAGAAGATGAACAGAAAGTAGAAGAAGAGGAAGACAAAGAGGAGGGCGAGGTAGAGAAAGCAGAAGGAAAAGAAGAAGAGGACGAAGAAGAAGTAGAAGAAAAGGAAGAAGAGAAAGTAGAGGAAGTAGAAGAAATAGGAGAAGAAGAAGTAGAGGAGTTCTTCAGAATTCATAGAGTTAGAGGAAGAAAAAGAAGAACAGAGCGCAGAAGAAGAAGAAGTAAAAGAGAAAGAAAAATAAGGACAGAAAGCAGAAGAAGAAGATGCAGAAGAGGAAGATGTAGAAGAGGAAGAAAAAGAAGAAGAGAAAGTAGAAGAGGAAGAGGAAGACAAAGAGGAGGAGGAGGTAGTAAAAGAAAAAGAAGGAAAAGAAGAAGAGGACGATGACAGAGTAGAAGTAAAAGAAGAAGAACCAGTGGCACCATGGTGCCACTGGTTTTCTCTGAAATCAACTCCCAAGCTCAGAAAAAGCTCTCAAGTTGAGGCCAAAATGGAGGGGATATCCTACGCTATCCTGAGAGTCCAGAGTCCACCGCTACATCAAGACAAACACTCCTTGCAAAGATAGGGAGCAAATACATTGACAGGGCTGCTACATTATTTGGGGACTCAAAAATTAAAAACACGGCAACACTGCTATTGTACTTGCTTGGTATTTTGCTTGTATTGTTTTTCTTGGTGTAGAGGTGGACTCTCAAGGTAGCGTGGGATATCTCCTCCATTTTGGCCTCAATTTGAGAGCTTTTTTTGAGCTTGGGAGATGATTTCAGAGAAAACCAGTGGCACCATCGTGTTTCTCGCCAACTTTTATATAGGAATCAATGGTCAAATCGCAAATCCCTCACACATGCAACATCTTCGTCGCCGTTGAATAGTTTTCCAATCAAAAATTAAGTATGACAGGAACCAGAGTGTCCACTAAAACAGGCTGGCCAAAAATCAGTACTTTTTCAGTGCATTCCCAATAAATTTAGTACCTCATCAAGAGAAAAATTCAGTACTATTTCAGTACCTCCAATTGAAGAAATTCGAAAATTTTCAAAAATTTGAATTTCTTGTTTCAAAATTGTTTTTCTTGGTGTAGAGGTGGACTCTCAAGGTAGGGTGGGATATCTCCTCCATTTTGGCTTCAACTTGAGAGCTTCTTTTGAGCTTGGGAGTTGATCTCAGAGAAAACCAGGGGCACCATCCTGTTTCTCACGAACTTTTACATAAAAATCAACGGTCAAATCGCAAATTCCTCACACATGCAACATCTCCATTTAATGTGGAGTGAAAACTTACGTGGAGGTGGGTCCTCGGGGGTGGAGAGGTAGCTCCAACAGGTGTCGAGGATGCGGCACTGGAGGTGGGTGAGGACGGGCTCGGGAGCCAGGTCCACCGGGCGGACTCCCTGTTTGTTCCGCACGGAGACTTGGGCCCCGTGTTCCACCAGATCCAACACGCATTCCCACGGGATGCATTGCTGGCACACGGCCAGGTGCAGCGCCGTGTTCCCGTAGTTATCCTGCAACATGACGAAACATCGTTTTATAAGAGCATTCAAAGGCACGTTGAGAACATTCACGCTAAAAAAGAACTCCGGTCGTGGAAGCTGTACTTACGGGCTATGCAGACATACCGTTCGCTTTCCGGGTTCAGAAGCCGAAAGTTCCAGGTGCAGCACCAGGAGCAGTCAAAGTTATGGCTGCATCATCCGGAACTTAAGAACTTAAGAACTTTAGAGGCCTGAACTAATTTTTGATCTGTTCATTCAGTGAATTTTCACTCTCTCCATGCACTGAAAAAAAAAGTTACGGGCTATGTAAACATACCGTCCGTTCCGGGTTCAGAGACCGAAAGTTCCGAGTGCAGCACCAGGAGCAGCCGAAGTTACGGCTCCATCATCCGGAACTTTTGGCCTCTGAGTCCGGAACGGACGGTATGTTTACATAGCCCGTAATTTTTTTTTTTTTAGTGCATGGAGAGAGTGAAAATTCACTGAATGAACAGATCAAAAATTAGTTCGGGTCTCTAACACTACCGAACCACCAAAACCCGAAGACCCTATATGATTTACATCGTGAGTGCGGAATTTTAATGGAGGTTTTAAATATAGCATGATGAAAAGGACAATTTTCTGATACCTGGAGTAAAACTGAAGTAAAAACTTTGGGGAAATTGATTTTGACCTGAAAAAGCTCGTTTTTTAAGGGGAAATTTCGATTTTTTTCCTGGGAAAATTGAGCTGGCCAAGAAAAATGAAGGTATTTTTCAGAATCAGCGTTATAAATCTGCTCGTGATCAGTTGACTCATTCTAGGAAAATTGACCCGCGTTGACCAGTGTAATCTCTTTCAAATAATACATGGCTTCCTCGAGGAAAAAATACCCTTAACGAACAGCTATGAATAGTGAAAACATTATTCGGTGTAGAAACTGATTTACTTTATGAGTACGCGAGAAGCAGTGGGAGGGCGTACCCCCTAGTAAAATTAATAACCAGCACAAAGATTTCATTTAGAAAAACGAATTATCTCAAGAACACGGCTGAGGATACAAATATTTTGACTTCGCGGATGTGCGTGAAGTATTCTGAGAAGTGAAGGCGTTTTAAAAGCATCCAAAAATCTCAGACCGAACACCACACCGCTAGTCGAGTTCCTACCAATACAAGATGTGGGTAAACCTAATACATTCAATACTGATCATGAGTGATGAAAGTACATATATCAAGCACTCTGTCCTTCTGAGAACAAGAGCGATAGCAGCGAACGAGTTTCAATCGAAACCCCTTAATTTTCGTAAATTTTACCTCGGTAGCTCCCAACCCTGTTCTTATATCCTTTCTGCGCTCAAATTACACAGTGTTTCCGCAACACTATTTTCTCGCTGGGACATTTCACAGGTTCTAATTTTAAGCGATAAGCGAGTTATCAACCATCTAAATTAAGGCTGTTTTGAAAAAGTCTCGGTTCCTCTTCCATGCAATAATCTTAGAGTACTTAATAGTTACTGATCACCTGGATTAAAAAATTGCACAATGCACCACTAATTGTCCTCACGCGAGATTTGATGAGGGGACGTAATACTGAATGCTTAAATTTACACCAGTTAGGTGAAATATTATGGCCTTACAACTAAACATGTTACGAATATGTTACGCGAAGTTGGTCTTGTACAACTGCATTCTCAAAACTTCCGGGAAAATTTACATTTAGTAAAATGACAGGCTTAAATCCTCAAAATTATTTAAAATATCCGACTCCATTCATTCTTAAAGTACTTATGGTGCAGTATAGTTACACTAAACCACCATCTTTTGGTTACCGTTACTGAAGTATCTTTCTTCATTAAGGCAGAATTTCAAATATATTCAGCCACGGAGTGATTGCAATGCAAAATGACTGAAATTCATTTTGCAAGTAGTAATGCACTTTTCTGGGTCACCCATGGAAGCACCTGTATTCATAGGGAAAGTTAATGCACGCGTGTTGTTTTTAAAATTAACAAATACAAAATGTGGTCCGACCATCTCAATCCTCCATTGCGATCGTACCGGTGACGATCATGTAATGCACTTTCCTGGGTCACCCATGATAGTATCTGTATACATAGGGAAAGGTAAGGCACGTGTGTTGTTTCTAAAATAAACAGGTACAGAATGTGGTGCGAACATCTCAATCCTCCATTGCAATCGTATCGGTGGGTAATGCTCATGATTTTCAGTAAATAAGATCAATGAATAAACCTACTGAATTAAATCGGATATAACTCGATATTTATAGGAAATTGAGCAGTCAAAGTCTAAATTCCAGTTCAAGAAGGATATCACCCGAAAAGCTATCGCGTAAATTTTTGTACATTATCTACACCCTTTTATGATTTCAAAATCCCTCGTAACATTCACGATTCTCCATTTTAAAACCTGAAAAACCCCTTTATCTCCGCAATCATCACCACTTTCACTAATTTGTCGTGTAATTTATGAAAAAATTCGGAAATAGTGAGGTTATATTTATGTTTACGTTCTGTAAAACCACGCAAAGGTCCTTGAAATCGTGTGAAACCGGTCTTGTTGAATTCAAAAGTGCCCCCGGTACGTGCGGCTTGAAGCTGGATGATGGAGGGGTGGCAACCGGCCTGCGAGGGGTGCGGTTACCCCGTGGATTTGGAGGTGGATTTGCAGTGTCGGCGATGCGGGAGTTTCGCGCATTTCGAGTGTGCTGAGGTTGCCCCGGAAACGGATATCCGAAGCGCGGGGATTCGGCCCGACGAAGATTATAACTGCTCCGTCTGTAGATCAGGTAACGTCACGAGATAAAATTCGCTCTCTGTACTATTGAGTTGTCAAAACGGCGAGATTGATTTCTCTGATCAATCTTAAGACCAAACAAGCAGTGAACTCCAACACAATGTGTTGATAAGGCGCGTCATTAACTCGGCCATATCAACCCCTTTAGTTTTCATTTACAGAGATTTCAAAATAGGCAAACAGCACAACAAGAGAATTCACGATCCAACACTGCGAGGTCAAAGACGCACCTTGACGAGACCGTGTATTGTGAAAGTAGAAAGCTATTCGATCGAATTTAAGTTTTTTGATCTGCCTCAAGCAAAATCTTATCATATTCTTGAAGAAAAGTGCTACGGAATAATTTAAGCGAAGAAAGAAAAAATTCTGTCGAACTCCTAAAAGATAAAGTCGATTTAAAGGTATTTTGGGGCTAAAATACCCAAATCACCGGTAGTATAAATCCCGTTATATTAATGAAAAGAAATTGACTCGATATAAATGCAATTGCATTAAATACGTCTTGATTTTGTTATTTTAAACGTCTTTCCATGCAAAGAAGTTCAACCATGTCGTTGCTTTATTCATTCATGAATTGAAAGTAAGCAATCTACATCCCGAAAATCTACTGATTTGCCGTAAAAAATTGCAGAAACTTGATATACCAGGTCGATGCACCCACTCGTTGAATTTACCAACCAATTTTGTGAGTGCAAATGTGTAAGAATCAATATGCTATAGTCATTTTGGGTGCATTTATTTTTCATGAAACAATAATAATTTCAATCCCGAAAAACCATCAATTTTCCGTATAAAATCGAAAAAATCAAAATATGTCAACTCCCCGACGTGAAAATTAGATTCTACGTATGTAAAATGTAAATACTTATGTATCGATATGCTGAACAGAACTATGTGTGGACAGTCAGAAGCCCGCGGCAACATTAATTCAACAGAAAAACTGTAAAAATTAGATAGGATTTTAGCCGCTTTGCCCGCCTCTCCTCGCTACTTACAACAAACCGTTCTTATACTCATCTCAAAATTTTTCTCAGAGCTTTGGGTTATTATCAGCTTCCATTTAAACTCCGGTTCGATGGCCGAATCGGCTGCCAAAAAAGCAAGCCACTGTTGAGGGGTTCTATGAGAAATTCGTGATATTATCGGCTCTCAGGAAATCACCCCATGGCTAAAATTGGTGGTATAAATGTTTAAGTGCTTAAAATAATCGTATTCAAGAAACTAAGGAATTAAACTATGGAGTCAATTTCTTTTTAATAATATAACGAATTTACTACCGGTGATTTAGCTATTATAGCCCCAGAATACTTTTAAAGCGCCTTTGCGTTCCAGAATCTCGACGGAATTTTTTTTTTTTTTTTTTTTGCTTAAACGATTCAAGAAACATTGTAGTTAAAAATATAAAGATTTTTCGATTTGGACGTATGAAAAATGTTTAACTCGTTCAGGCACACCGTGTATTGTATGGAGTACTGCTGTTATTCGACCGTTGTCTTCAGGTCAAAATTCTTACAAAGAAGCCCCTTGCAAGAGGCAAATTTTTTGTAATTTCTCCCAGTTTTTTCAGCGTTAGGTATATAAATGAATTGTTTGTCAAATTTTGAGGTCAATTATATTTAATTGTAATTTATACTTTCTTTTTTTCCCCTTCATTTTATTTTTCGTATCGAGGAGTCGAGGTTTTGTTGATTTCTTCGGATTTCGATTACTGTAACTTCTCTTCTATTCGGCCGATTTTTATGAATGAGGTCTCTTTTTATTTGTGTTTTAACGGAGAGTAAGGAAAAAATTGCTAAATACACGCGAAACAATTTTTTTTGAAAATTGGATGAATCCTAGCGTGACGGTGAAATGGTTAATGAAGCGTGAGTAATTGGGGTACGGGTATCGGCCGCGTTGGGACCCAAGGCGGCCCAAGGCCCATTGTTCTTCGTGACGCCGACGCAGTGATCAGGAGCGTGGGGAAGAGAGGGCTGAGTGGACTCCTGTATGAGCCACGTTTAGCAAATGGTCTAATGAGTCTCGAGGCTCATCACAGATTGCACTTACCACTATCCTGCTGGCCCCGGCTATCAGAGCAAGGAGTACCAACTTTTGAAAAGGATAACAGTGGTGTGGAGATATGTCAAAGCAACGTTTTGAACAAAACGGAGTGAGTGAAATTCTCATTCAAGGAGTGCCGAACTGGTCAGCCATCCTCGAATCAGTTCGCTTGCTTCCGCTTATATATGCATATTTTAAATCAGCGCGTCGTACTCTTAGGCTTTTTTTAAAAAAACCAAGTAACGTAGACTCTTGGTATTCACTGCACATAAACTAGCGAGCCCCAGAATGAGAAACAACTTTAAATCATAATTATTGACGGATAAATAAACTTTTTACACGCTTTGGAAAATCTCAGAAGTTCGCGGTAGTCACTTTTCGGTAAGGAACTAAGGGACTCGGTTATTGTATCGAGCAGGGTTCGAAACGATCGCAAAGGCGGTATACTACGTATACGCGCCAAAATAAAATTTCAATTCAAACGAAGAGCCTCGAGCCTCGACTTTGTCCGAGCCTTTCTCTGATCGGTTAATCATTTTTATTAACACTTTTCAATGAGCTCTTATGTGATTGGCCCTAATTGATCGAATTCGATAGTGGTTCGATGTATCGTTTGGTTCAAAACAATAGAAATAACCTCAAACCAAAACTGTGAGATATTTGTCAGAAAAGCTGAAAATGAGAAATTTCGTAGCAATTTCACCGCTCTTGGCCTACAAGTACTCATAGGAATAAAAAATCTATCACAAAAAACCTGCGACCTGTTATTACTCAATTGACTTTTGAGGCTATGTCTATGTTTTGAACCAATCGATATCGATACAATCTCACCCGTTTGATGTATCGAATACAATCTTTTTCTCAGCGTGGTCGGATCATATTCGATACATCAAACAGGTGGGATGCTGTCGATATCGATTGGTTCAACATGGAAAAATAATGTCAATAGTCAATCGAGTAATCTATACATAGGAACGAAGTATTGTCAACTGAATTTTGATTCATATGAGTTCTACGTGTTAATAAAAAGTGAAATTGTTGGGAATTTTCTCTTTTTCAGCTTTTCCTAGTTAGATCCTAAAATTTTTGTTTGAGGTTATGTTCTATTGATTTAAACCAAACGATACATCGAACCACTATCGAATATGATCCCTACATCGCATCAGTTTAGTCCAACGTTTTGATAGATTTTAAATTTCCAGCCCAAAAAGAGGCCAAAACCCGTGCACATTTGTCTTGAGAATCATTCTCAAACAACATTCGTACAGGGATAAAAATACGATTGGGTCACAAAAATAATGTGCGTCCAAATCCTATTGTGTTTGGGGAAAATGAATTTTCTGGCATTGTAAAAGAGTTAATGGATCACATTCAATGGAAACCGACTCACGCTCTATAATGTTCAGCGCTTAACTTAGATTTCATCTCAAATTGAGTAAAATACATATTTTGAGAGGTTCTTTTTTTGGATGGGGGATGCGTACAGAATAAGATTCTAGCCACTAGAAAGGTTGACGCCTCTCATAAAATAAGTTTAACTTTTTTTCATAATTAGAGTGAAACGCTTGAAGTTACAATCGGATACAGATATTTTAGACTTTTAAGGCTGTCGCTCTTAAGGTGGGCGGTTTCAGAAAAAAACCCAAGAAAGTATTATTTTGATCTCAAAAATTCACGCATATATGAATCAGTTGTTTTCAAAAGGGGACAGGTCCATTCCTCGATGAGCCTTAGTTAGTGCGTCTTTCCAACACGGAAAAAACTATAACGTGCTGAGCACTAACTGTTTAGATCAAGATCAAACAGACCCAGCTGATATGGCAGTGCTGCTGGGACCTACAGTCTGGAAGGCTGGGTCTTAAAGTTTTAGTGCTCAGCGCTACTGCCATCGTAGCTGGCTCCATTTGATCTTAACAGTTAGTGCTCACCACTATATCGTATTTCCGTGAGGGCTCATGCAAAATTGGACTTGTTCCCTTTTGTAAACAACGAATTCATATATAATGAATCCTAAATCATCTAATTTTCATTTGTTTGTAGAGAATCAGTCCATGGATCGGCTGCGCTCAGGGCATGGCCGACAGCTGAGCCAGACACGCCAAAGCACGAGCAACGCTAACCATACCCATAGCCAAATTCCTAACCGCAGCCCTAGCCGAACAAGACACGGAATAAGGCAAGCTAGGCAAAGTCACAGCACTAGTCCTGCTGGCCGAAAAAGGAGCCACGCTAGCCGCAGTGCTAGCCTCGCGGGTCAGGAGTCGAGACGAGCGAGTAACGAGAGGTCGGGATATAACGCTAGCTTGACGAGGTATAATACTATAAGCAACAAACAACCGGGCGAGTACGGAAAAACGAGTGGAAAAAGGGTGACAATTCGGGAAAGCGAAGATATTCAGAACTGGAGAAATTACGACTACATAGAGAATGAAGAGATTCCAATTCCAATGAATCAGGTTTGTAGAGGCTTCTTTAGAATTTTTATGTTTAGCCCTCGGATGTCCAAGACTTACTATATACGCAAAATCCCAAGTCGGGTCAAACGAACACGTGTTTAAATTAATTGATTTTGACGGTATTTGAAAAATCCCACCAAAAAAATTGTAATGTAAAGAAAAACCATCACGCTAAAAATATGAACATTCGCCACCTAAAATACAGTGATATCCCACAAAAAAATACCATGGGAATTTTATTAATATTCATTCAAAGTGTCTCCTTCCTTCAACATAATTATCAGGAAAATGTAAGATATAGACAAAAATGTTTTTTAAAAAATCAATACGAATGTAGGTATCCACTTTTCTGTAGTACAATGATACAAGACAAATTACCTTAATACCTTAATATTTTGAAGCACTACTACAAATAAGACTTACAAAAGCAACACAATATGGAAGTAGAGTAAAGGAAAGGACGCGCGTTGATGACGGCGCAAAGATACAACTATTCGTGCTTCATGGATGTCCGTGTTGCATCTGCAAAATTGAAGGCGCGACGGTGTGAGAAGGAAACTCGCAATGCTTCCCTCTTGACTCTAAGGGTGTCTCTCAGATTCGGGAGAAAATTATAAAAAAACGAGGCCGGATTACGTTTCTTGACACTAATTTTTCTTCTCTTTATTTTCAATTTGATGTCCGCTTCTTTTTTAAGGGTGTATTTGTAGAAGTATATCTGAAGCTCGTAAGTTCAGGCCCCATACAAACAGCGGGGCTCGTGTTTTTAGCAAGTCTCGGGTCAATTTGACCTAGTTTGTGCATTTAAGTATTAAGAAAACTTGTATATGCTTAGTAGCAGGCAGAAGGACTCTGAATTAAGGCGCGCACTCAAATTGAACAGTTTAACGAAAAATCCCATCAGAAATTATGGATTTTTAGCTAAACTCTTACTAGAATTTTTTAGAGCATTATGTCAAAGTTTCAAGAAAACTTCTCATAATCAAAGATGTTATAAACATTAGAAATTGCATGCATCTACACACGATGGACACGATTAATGACACGATAAGAACAATTTTAAAAGTGGGAAACAAGGCGACAACAGCAAATCAAGGCAGGCTGTTTCGGCTTGTGACCCTAGCCGAAACGCCCTGTGTTTATTTGCTGTTGTCGCCTTGTTTTCCACTTTTTAATTGTTTTTATTGTGTCATAATTTCGGGCTGCATACTATTTATACAATTTCTAACACGATTGATAATAAATATTCATCCTTTTTCTACACAGCAGCATGTATCCGAGCAGTTTCCTATTCGACAGGGCATTTTATCACAACCTTGTTCTCGGGAGCCGTACGAAACATTTCCGTGTGATGACCCTAACGACACTTGGGATCATTTATCTAGCTTCGCCACGCAAGAACCGCGTATTTGTCACAGACCGGCATTTAATTCAACTAACCAGCCGCCAACAGGCTGCTCGAAGCAAGGGCATTGGGCCTCAACACTACCTCACCATGTGGATCAACAGCAAATTTACCCAAGGGTCCCACGACAAAATTACCTTGGGATACCACAACAATGTCATCTCGGGGTCACGCAGCAATGTCACTTTATTGCCCCACAACTGAACTACCCAGGGGCCTCTCAGCACCTAGGAGCACCATGTTACCTAGGAGCTCAAACACCGGGTCGCCCTTTGGTAAATGTCGAGGTTCGACCCGATTGCCCGATGCAAATCGCGGGGATGAACAGATTTGATCCGTTGCAGACTACCTGTCCATGTGAGGGATCAAGGGCAAGCCAGCCTAGGTTAGTCCCGCAGTTTCTAAATTTTTCAAAAATGTATAGAATATTAATGGGCCTCTAGACAAGGTACGAATTTTAGCACAACGCTACGTATTTTCTCTTGGAAATGGAGATGTTGCATGTGTGAGGAATTTGCGATTTGACTGTTGATTCTAATGTAAAAGTTTCCGAGAAACACGATGGTGCCACTGGTTTTCTCTAAAATCAACTCCCAAGCTCAAAAAAAGCTCTCAAGTTGAGGCCAAAATGGAGGGGGTATCCCACGCTATCCTGAGAGTCCACCTCTACATTCAGACAAACTCTCTATGCAAAGATTTAGAGCAAGTACATTGACAGGGCTGCCACTTTATTTGGGGACTCTAGAACTGAAAACACGGCAACCCTGCTAATGTATTTGCTCCCTATCTTTGCATGGAGAGTTTGTCTTGATGTAGAGGTGGACTCTCAGGATAGCGTGGGAAATCCCCTCCATTCTGGCCTCAACTTGAGAGCTTTTTTTGAGCTTGGGAGATGATGTCAGAGACAACCAGTGGCGCAATCGTGTTTCTCGCGAACTTTTACGTAAGAATCAACAGTCAAATCGCAAATTCCTCACACATGCAACATCTTTATTCTACAAGGAAAAATCAACACACAACGGGAAGTCTGAAAATCTACTCGTGAGCAAGATATAAGTGTTTCCTATTAACATCGGTGAAATGACAAACGTACAAATGACGTCAGTTGCATAATCAAGCTTTCATTTGATCAGTGTTTAAAAAATTTGATAATACTTCGTTCGGGAATTGATTTAAAAACTTTCCGTGGTGTGAATTGTTATCTGTGTAGGGTTTTGAAGAGAAATCATGTAATGACTTTCGAAAGTAACGCTCATACTACTTATAGGGAAGATATCAGTTCGGAGTTTTTCCTAAAATAAACTGTCTCTGTTACCATTTTATCTTCGCAGGTTTCACTCACAACCACGCTGCAAAGACCAACACGGTGCTGAAAATTGGTCGACGAGAGCTGAATTCGGCTCAGCTCCCAGAGAGTTTAAAGACAGAACTGAAACGGCAAGGCCACCACACCGTGACACTGATGTAGGAAATAAGGAAACCGGAGAGAACAGTTCTCGAATGGCGGACAACCACTACCAAGACGGAATAAGGCCCTTAAGATCGGGCTTTTCTCCCGGAACCCAAAGCCCACGGGTGGATGAGTCACAGGAAAACAATGGACCAGAAGCTGATATTGATCGTGCGTATTCGGATCACCGCCGACGATCTTGGAGCACTTCTAATGACGTCAGCCGGAACCAAGGAGGGCACCAAGTAAGAGAGAATATAGGGACCTACAGTTCGGGACCACCGATACCGACAGAAGGCTATGAAACAGAACCTGGCTCTCAACAAAGATGCTTTGAGCCTCTTCTCACCTCCACCAGAATCGGTCACCGTCATGGACGAAGCCAAAATCCAAACACGAATGGATTCCCTTTGCAAAACGAAGGCTTTGCTCCGAGAGTATATGTTGATCGCAGTTACTCGGAGCTCCCCACGGGACCTAGGAGAACCTCTAATAGTGCACTGGAGGCGTACCGGAATCAGTTCACGAGCAATGTGGATCAACCCGGCAAAAAGGGCGATTCCGTCTGCGCGCGACGCAGACAGGCTAAAACGGACCCTTGTGAGACATTTCAATTCCAGAAAGAACCTGACCCAAATCTCATTCGCGGTGGTTCCAGTTGTGGCCTAGGAATGAGGCCCTCGCGATCGTTTTATACAGAAACAGGACCCACCTCGACACCGAATCCATCAGGATTGGGGCCCATGCCACTGGATTACGGAGGAATGGGGCCCTGTCAACCGATTCCCACGGAAATTGGGCCCCCTACGCCAAATTGCTCAGGAATGCTCCCGCAAGAAATCGGGACTGTGCAGGCGTCTTACGCAGATATGGAGTTCTCAGTGGTTGGGCCCTCAGAATCGTTTTACCTGGGACTGCGAACCCCACAACCGGTTTGTAGTGACGGTCAAAACTGCTGTGCTGATAATCAATCTGGACCCGCTGGAGGACGCATGTCCAACGAAGAACAACCGCAAGAGACGAGGTCGAAGATGGAGATCTGCGAGGACCTGACGAATGAGGCCATCGAGACTTTGAGCAAGCTGAAGGAAGCTTCTTCCAAAGTGGCGAGTGAGGACACCAAAGAGGACCCAGATTGCTCGGAGGTCCACTCCGTTGGCTCTGTTGGTTCCATTGGTTCCGCTGGTGCCGACCGGTGCGCCGAGAGAGACTGGATGGCTAAGCAGGCCCGCACTTACCGCCAACTCGACGAGATCGCCGCCAAAATCGCGGCCATGGAGAAGAAACACGAACACTTACTCGACGAATCAGGTATGTGCGGGACTTTGGAACTTCTGAAATGCATAGGTCACTGAACCTTGAGTTTTTTATTTATAATTCTAAAAGTACCAGGTAAGTAGATGGATCTTATTCAAAACACCAAACAGGTGAAATCGTATCGATATTGATTGGTTCAGAATGTAACCGTATAGCCTCAAAAGTCAATTGAATGATCTGAGGGAACGGGTTTTTTGTGATAAATTTTTCATACGTATCAGAACTCCCTGATGGATCGTGGGAAGACCGAGTTTTGTGGCGATTAGGCGTCGTAGAGCGCCAGAGAGCGCTAAAAAAGCGACTCATGCATGTATGAGTACAAAATGGCAACGAGGAGTGAAATTGTTAGGAATTTTCTCATTTTCAGCTTTTTCCAGTTAAATTCTGAAATTTTTGTTTGAACTTATGTCGTATTGTTTAAACTGAACGATACATCGAACCATTCTCAAATAAAAGCTATTACGTGGTGATTTATTGCGCAAATTTAGGGCCACAATGCCATTCAAGCCCGATTTTAAAAAGTCCAATGTCTCGAAGGAATTTCAAACGCACCGGAATGGCGGAAGCAGGATGTGCTACACGGCAGATAAATCGCTCTTTTCTTTTATTTTCAACTCATGTTTGTTTGAATAAAACGTATCGCAACGAGTAATTTTTCCTTTGTAACTACAAATGACATGAATGACATTCAGTTAAGAATTTTGACAGTCTTTGAAGGTAACCGATGTGTTTGGAACACCTCATGGATCAAATCTTGAAATTCTCAAGGAGAAGTTGAAGAATTAGTGCCAGTTTGAGAGCCCAGTTTGAACGAGAGCTGGACGCTATTGCTTTTCCTTATATTAAAATCCATTAAAAATATCGACTTCAGGTAAAATTAGCTGTCTCATCGAAATCGATTGCTGAACATACATTTCGTCGTCCCCCAGACATTTGGGCGTAGATACACTCTGCAATGAGCCCTGTCGTCCGTGCAACAGAATGATTTTCCGAGCTCATTTCAATGTGTAGTTAGGTATTTTTGTCCACCAAGCGACGATTTAAAAGGAGGGTAAACAGTGTTGCCAACTTTCGAGAATCGCCACTGCATTCTGGGCATATTTTTAGGAGAGAAATCCACGGTTCGGCGGCAGCGGAGCGTCCACTTTGCGTCCGACTGCGACGTAGACGAGAATTTGAAGCAAATATCGGTCAAATTGGACACGATGGAAAACAATCAGGTGACATTGTCGTCCTCGTGGTTGCAACAGCTCAAAGGCTTCAAGGCATACACCGAGGCCGTCCAAATGCGACTCTGCAATCTCGAGCAACGAACCCGGATGCTGGAGGAAAAGGTAAGGTCCTCTAGTTTTTCTCGATAACCCGAAGGAAGCAGTAAGAACAAAACTGGACCACGTTCAACAGAGAGGAACCAAGGCAAATTAGTTACTGCCAAATTTTGACAGGGCGATTCAATTTTTTACGAGAGAATATTTGTGCGGATACCTTTCAAAATTGCAAAGAATTTGCTCCGTACTATGCAGGAAATTCACTGAAATTTGCACCAAAATCCGCATAGCTGTTTTCATGTAAAAAATGTAATTGCCAGATTGAATTTGGCGATAGCTGATGTCGCTTGATTCCTTTCTGCTTAACGCGGTCCGAGGAAAACTTCGAGGAAATGGACTTTATAGCGTTCGAGCGGAAAATCGTGTTGAAAAAATCTTCCATTTTTCTCAAATTAGTCACAATGGGTCAGTTGTGCTGGTCACAGAATGGTGTTTTGATGTTTGATTCTTGTAGAATAATAATTTGCTAAAAATAATAGGATCCGTCCAATCAGCAACTTCCTACGTTCAATATTAATCAAGATCTCGTGCTTTGAAAATTTCGGTTTATGACGTGATCCACCGCGGTAGTCAGACCCTTGGTTTCTTTCACCTTGCTTTCATTGTTCAAGTTTCACGTTTAACAACCAGTGCAAACATGCATGACGCCGACTGAACTCGAAGTCTTGTAGGCGCTAATATGTGTTTCACTCCAACTAACCAACTGCGCTGCTTTTGGCGCAATGCGAGAAGTATTCATGCAGTCTTGTAGGCGCTAGTATGCGGTCCAGGCAGACCGCACTGTTTGGCGTAGTGCGTGAAGTATTCCTACAGTCTTGCAGGCGCTAATATTGCCACCGGTAACTCGACACTAAACTTTGATGAAAGCAGGGTAGAAAAAAACCAGGGTGTCACCACCGCGACGGGTGACGTCATAAACTGAATTTCTCAAAGAGCGATATCTCAGTTGATATTGAACGTAGACAATTACTGTCCTGGAGTTCCGAGGAAAGCTCTGAGAAAACTTCAAGGAATGATATTGATTTGTTCTCTTTTAAAAAAATAAAATGGGAGCGGAGATTTGTAGACACGGGAAACGAGATTCGTGGTTTAATAGTTTCACCATAGATCTAGTACAACAAAAAGGAAGTCTACCTCATCAAGGATGTAAATTAATTTGAACTTGGCTCTAATTACAAAATATTAAATTCGACTCTTCAAAATCTGAACAAGTTGGATTTTGCAATCGCTAGCGATAGCAATATTCGTCATGGGAACGTTAGCTTCTGGGATATGAAAATGTTAAGGTACAGTTCGTTTGTAGTATCTTCTGAATTGAAGGGGCTATGTAATTTTGTGTTGACATCTCTTTTTTAACATTTTTAATTATTTTCTTTGCATACAAGAAAGC